AAACATGTACATTCAGGGCTCGAAATTGGGCTAATCATCACGGGAGCAAGTAGCTCCCTTACAATATTAAAGATAAAGTGTCTTTTCAAAAAAAAAAAAAAGAAAAGACCCTGGTCCTTGCTGTTGCTTTTGTTTAAATTAATGACACTGATAACTTACGGCTTTGACTTTGGCAGATATTAAAGCCTTGATCGAGTTGTTATTTTTGTGGGTTGCACGCGACGTAAAACTAGTAGTGAGTATGCGACCAACCGGAACCTCAAACATGTGCTTAGCGACGCTACGCAAAAAGTTGGGCACTGGGCCTTTATAATGTGCATATGCACAAAGACGTAAAAGGGAACTACATGTAACTGCAGCAATCAAGTATTCTGAAACGAGTGGATTAGGCTGAGACTTTGGTTTCGCTGGTCCCAGCTATTTTGGAGCATGGTTCAAAACCACATGTTCAAGCTATGACTGGAACCAGCGAAACTGAAGCCTAAGCCGAATCCACATGTTTGGCTTGAATTTATGCACTAGGGGCCAGTTTCCAGGGGCCAATCGTGACAATAGCCATGGGTATGCATGTGTGTACGTTCATGTGCGTGCATGCATTACATGCGAGGCTGCGGCGTGCGCTCGGTGACATCGTTAACAAAATTGTACCGTATTATGGTTCAGTGACAAGGCTGATCCGAAGTGAAGTCAAAAAGTTCAGGTATTTTTCATGACAAAAGTAGGAAAAAAGGTACAAATGCTCAGGTACATGGAATCAAACGGGCATAAGTACTTGTGCTCGTCATTATGATTTATGGGCGCATTTCTGAGACAAACGGGTGCATTTTAGCTACATGTGCCCGTTAATTTCGAGCTCTGACATTTATGCACACTTACCGGTATGTGGTAAAAAAGAATAGAAATACATGTAAATGATTAGCATCTGAATTTGCTATCACGTTTTGTTTTTGATTTCCACAAACAAATGTTCACTATCTGTGGAACGTGGAAACTCTTTCTGAACAGGTTCTCCCCTGAGTGACATGGAAATTCATCAACATATCCCCACTCCAGGATGTGTGAAAATTATTATAAAATTGGTGACCTGAGCACTGCTACAAGTAGGTTTTTGAAAGGAGCATGTACCACTGAACACAGAACAGGAACGGGGAATAATTAATGTAACAGGTCATGTCAGTAAGCCGATCTTTATGGGTGACAAAATGGGGGCCAGATAGTTTCCCAACCACTGTGACTATCAAAAGCTCTCAGAAGCAAACACCTGTGAGAACTTGCATGGAAGAAAAAGTGGCCTTGGTCAGAGCTGGTGCATCATTTAAAGCTTGTGGGGCCTGCTAACAGGATTAAAATCATGTAACCTTGTCTCAGGTCACCCTCCACATTTGATCAATGCCAATGAGGCCTCCCCACTGCCTGTTGGTTAGAACCAGCCCACACTCTGCATGCACTTGTATAAAACAACACAATGTACACAATACAATGTACATGTACATGTAGGCTGACATCATTCATGTGTGTTTATCTTGTGCCATTCTTTTATTCAGCCTAGGCAAGGGCCCATGCATGGTCTTGCCGGTGGGGGTGCTAAAAAAAACGCTGTGAATGGGCCACAGCAAAACTGGCATGGGTCAGGGGGTCTAGACGGCGCTTTTATCATGCCATCTCTTGTCTGGGTCAAACTGGAGTGCAGACTCCATACCACTACTGTGTAAATTTTGAGCTGCAAGAAAAGGGGGCTGCCAAGGGAACACTTGCACTGCAGCAATATCAAACAAATGATCCATGTATGATGTATGGATATTTCCAGCAGAGTCTACAAGAATACATGGGACTCCTTACAAGGCCATTTGGTCCATTAAACTTCTGGCATCCTTTGCAATTCCCAAGTTAGGCACGGAATTGCTGAGCCTATGGTTTCCTAATGAGTTTTGCACAAGGGTAAATAACTGGCTCCATAACTGTTCTCATTCAAACCCATTATGATGCAACATGATGATTTTAGGAAGGAAGTGTCTAACCGTGGAAGTGTGGATGAATCATGATTGTCAGTATGGGCATACAAACATCTCTGGTTTTGACAGTACCTTTCACCCTGCTACAATCAATTCTGAAGGACACCTGCCCTCCTTTGCCATGGATCAATGTCGACAATCAAGTTTAAAGGCTCAGAATATCATGTTTAGCAAATTCACTGCAATGCCCAATTCACAAGAAGCTCAAAACTGATCAGCATTAACGTGCTCGACAACATTTGTCGGTCTTTTCCTAACTAAATTTACCATGTCCTGCGTAGAGTAGAGCAGTTTTCAAGTATTCCATTAAAAAAGCAATCACTTCTGTTCCCACACTCAATTAACATCATTAAAATTCCTTCTACTTTGGCACCACGTTTTCAGTCTGGTACACAGAACGTTTACCAGTGTATGCGTTTTACTAGTGTAAGTCCCCTCCAGATAAGCAACACACTGATACATCATGAGTCACCCACTTCACATGAATCCCTGAGTGAATGTCTAACAACTCCGGTCCTCCAGCACTGGTCTGCTATCCTGTCTCTGCCCATGGCCACTATATGACATATATGCTCCCACTGACATGACAAGCGGCCGAGGCGAAAGATTTATCAAATGCTTCCTAGCCCCGGGAGTCTACAGAGAGTGTACGTGTATATGGCTACTGCCCGGAGGAGAGACAGGGGTCAAGACCAGGCACACTGTATCCCACTGATGCATTTGCACCTGTTCTGAATGGGGAATCATCATCACCAGATGATACACTGGGGATGGGCCTCCTTTTGTGCTGAATGTCTCCGCTCAACTAGTTAATGGCTAAAGACTCACCAGGCCGTGAAATTACAACAGTTTTTACAACTGATATAGTTTCAACTGTTATTCACAGTACGAGGTAAAACACAGAAGCAGTGTAGGTACATTCGTCCCAATAGCAACTGGTTCATTTTAAACTTTCCTTGAAATTTGAAGAAGCATGGTGATACCTTTCAACCTTTACATGTACCAATATTCTTGAACGATAAGAAAATAATATTCACAGCTCTTCGTTCAAATTATGTTATATCGAATCTATAAAACTAGGTGATTATAAGCCACATACATGTAAATTACTTGTTAAAAAAGAAAAAAAAGAAACAGACTTATCCGCAAGTACAACTTGGTACACTTGGAACACCATACCAGTACATGTATGCCCCAATCAAACGTGACATCAATTAATATCTTCATCCAACTAATGAATAATGCAAGGTCATAATTTTTATCATAATTTTAAAGGCTTTTGCATGCAACTCAAAGCAAAAAAATTGCACGTGTTAAGCAGCATATAATGCTGGGCTGACAACCTCTGTCCCAAGTCATCAATTTGCCAATCCTGTTTCCTAAATATCAACATCTTCCGGCTGGGCTGATGTGGTTACTAGGCAGTCTGCCTATTCAGAGAGCAACACCGGTCTGTCCAAATGCCACAGAACCAGCACCTAAACAGATTGGGCTGAATGTACGAGCCACTAAATAACTAAACCAATTCTGGGTGATGGGCACTGACAACGTCCCACAGGACAAAAATCTTCATGGCTGAGATGTTCACGATGAAATAACTTGAGAGCCTGACAGTAGGAAATAAAAATTGGGTGGCAAGCAAGATTTACGACTTCTTGAGGCAAAACTTTAAATTACTCTGAATTTATCTTGGAATAGGAGGAAATGGTAATGGAGTAATATACCGGTAGATAATTCTGGTGTATGCGCTCAATCTACGTTTAATAGTCGCCTTCTGTCTCAATCGGTAAAAACACGTAAAATGAAACATTTGACAATGGAGCACAGAGTCAGCATGAAGTCCGCTCATACCAAAATGAGTCACATTACACTGTTCATGTACGTATTTCTGTCTGTAAACTCTAGTCATGATGTTATGCAAAGTTATGAAGGAACAAACAATACAGTAAATGTGTTTATTTCCAAAATGATCAAACAATCTGCACTGTATGGGTCTCCACTTTTTCAGCAACCTTTTGCGTATGATTTTGCAATGAGCCATTGGACATGACGTCCCCTACATGCAGGTACATGTAGAGGTACAGGTACATGTAGAGCTGGTAACCCAGCAGACATACACAAAAGCACAGATAGCCACTGCACAGTACCAGGGAACACTGAATACATTGAGCAGAGACTGTGACCTTGGACCCCTAGATGACTCAGTGAATCCAACAAAAGGACTCATGTTTGTTCAGTTCTTTTGCTGCCAATTTCTCTCCCCCTCGATTTTTTTCTTCTTTTTTGGCGGGATAAACAATGCCCCCCAAACTGGAGTAACTGTTCAGGTCTGCGGCGGGAAAAATTTATCAACCGTGCCTTCTGATATGCCGCCACAGCAGTGTTCACGAGGGATACAAATGCAAGTGCAAAGTTCACTTATATTGAACCAAAAAAAACTCAGTTGGCAATGTTGAAAGACCGGGCAGAGATTGCATAATGACGCTAGCAAGCTATGCAGCGCTGGCCCTGTGAAATTCACATATCAGGCATCACAAACACACACACGTGTACAGACTACTGAAGTTTGATATCAAGTTCAAACTGATTCCAAAGTAAAAATGAAAACGTTGCATGCATGGTTACGATACAGAGCCAAATATTTGTCACATCATTCAGATACTATTGGAGGATTTTCTTTTTAAATATGACATACATTCTGCATACGTCTGGGAACAATTTAATAGATTGTGGAAATATCTGACTTTTCAGAAACTTACCTCATCAAACTACAAAAACAAGAACAACATTTATGAAAAGTTTTGTTGGCATATCTTGAATTTCTGTCTAAATATGGGCAAAGAGAAAGGCTCTTTCCTATTTGACTGTTACCTCAAGTCTAGGTCCTCCTGTCTCTAGATCGATACCAGCTGGCACCATTTGTCAAATGCTCCAGGGGGAAAAAGGAGATGGGAGAAAAATGAAATAGGAGGGGAGAAAAAAGGATACATCTTGATGACCCCGCTCTGGGTGCCTACCGCTAGCAGCTTCAGCTTGGGGTCATAGGCCAATGCACTGGGCTTGTGGGGAAATCCATGTTCCACAGTCTGGAGAGATGAAATCGAGAGAAAAAAAAAGATGAGGAATTGGGAAAAGAGTGAAAGAGTTAGGTATGCCAAGCATGTCATTTCAGGGGGAACCGAGAGGCCTGTCCATCAATCATGCTAAGGATGTGACAGTGAGATCCTCTGGAAGAGGGGAAGAGGTGGACAGGGAATTAAACTCCTAACAGCGTTTGACATAAGGACAGGATATCATTCACCCTCATTACAAGTTCTTTATATTTGGAGCAGGTCAGAATAATATTCCAAGCTGTTGAAAGGACATAAAGATATTCATTTTTTGTTGGATTAATGGTGGAGGAATACGGTCAGAATGATACCATCTGGCAAACTGCAAAACTATTAGGTACAATGCTTTCAAATGACAGCTTCATAGTTTTTAAGGTAGTCCAGTACAGGTCGCCACATGAATTGTAATTTGTACCACATGCAAAGAACTTAAAGTTTAAAATAAGCAGAACCAAAGTTGCTTCTTTTTAAAAATTTAATTCTCAAACTTATTCCAAACCTACAGAGCACAGCCTGAGACACACATCCTGGTCAAAATGAGAAGTCTGAGTAGTTTAATCACTCTAACCCAAGACCCACAAGCTTCAGGACTGACAATCAATAACCAGGTCGGTAACCCTGCTCATTCATGCCTCGCTTGAGAGCCTAGAGCTCGGGCGGATTGACACTGATGCTTGCACAGTAGCATCACTCAGGCAATGGGCTGGTTGGCAATGTGCCCAACACAAGTTTACTGTTTGCACAGTGCACATATGTGACTCAACCCTGATGTGTCATGCACCAGGATTTGCAAATCAAGTCAACCACAAGTGCACTACAGCTCAGGTACATGTAACTGTAGTCTGGCCCAATTTCATTTTGTGTAGTTTCCAACAAAGGCATTTTATGACATGAATGTACATGTAAGCTACACTGACTATGGGCAACTTCTGCTTCACATTTATTATCAATGACTCATACTTAACTTATATGTTTTTTTTTAATTAACGTTTTCCATGTCCTGCAAATTAGAGGTGGCCCAACTGGATCATGTTGGCTAAGTACAATAGAAAGTTAATGCTATGCCTCTGACAGCAAACCTTGCCCACTGTGCCCTGCAGTACCAGTAGGACACCTGCTGCCCCCTTCCCTTCAGCTGTGACACTGGCTTCATTCCTCCCTGTTTATGTGCACTCCCATTTCACAGTTTTGCATGAAATTGAATTTAAATATACTGATGTGCAACAACCGTGAAAATCAACATATATGCAATTACAATAGTTAAATAATTTACCCCTTAAAAATCACATTGTAATTCAGAATTAGTTTACAAATTGCTAATTTGCATATTTTGTATTCAATTTTCATGTTAGGAATTTAGAAAAACGGCAGGAGCAGGTGAGAATCACTTCATTACAAGCATCTCAAAAATTTCAAAGCTAAAAAGCCACCCTTAAGCGACATATGTACCCACACTTGTAATGTTTGTATTCAGGAGAACTTTGAACAAAAAGGTCAAAACTTTACCAGGAAAGCATAAGATATTTAACACCGTTCTGTTGGTTTTGGTATTTGATTAGCCACATGGGATCTTTGTACGACAATGTACAACTTGGAGGGCCAGACAATGTTTGCTTTTCTTACAGATCGAGTCTGATGAGTATGTACCTATGTGTACACAGGAACTAATACTGTGGAAATGGGCAAAAAATAGATATTGGCAAACATGTAACCATCCAATGAATTGCAACGATAACTTGTGCATCAGGTTTGGCACCCAGGTCTGATGTAAATGGTTTAACCCTGACCCTACATAATACTAAAATTACTACTTGTAGTAAAATGTAGTACTGAGCGCTGTCGCTGGTAAGAGGACATGACTTTATTATTCTCTGTAGCCGTAAGATACAATAGATAAGACAATGTACCATACAGTGCTGTGGCACCATGAATGCATGGCTTTATTGTTCTCTGTACAAGTAACAATGGAAGTAACCTAGCCAGAAGTAGTAATCTGTAGTGCTAGGTCCTTCAGGCTTAGACTATTACTTAGTATTTTGTGGTACTGTGTAGTGTAAGCCAAACAATATGCTTGGCGGTTAGGGTTTTAAGGTTATAAAGTTTAAAAACAAAGTCCTTCTCGATGTGAACATATAGAGCATGACTGAACACCCTAGTGCAATGGACACACTGAACTGAAGGCGTAATCATAAGAACCGTGTAATTGCTTCATCTACAGGTTAACGGACTCTTCAACAGCAATTTAGCCACTTAAGACTGTAATCCATCATGAGGCCAAGTAAACAATTAATTAGTTTCTCGTCCCTACTTGCTTTCAATTTCCCTTCTGTCTCCTTCGTAAGATTTTAGGGTTTTTGGTTTGAAATTTTGCAATCTGGACTTTCCATGAAGCATCAGCCAAATGGTTGACCAAATTTATCCAACATCTTCTTAGCAAAAAACTGCCCACCTCAGAATTTTTTCCCTTTTCTCAAAATTCCCAGGCAGAAATTGTTTAATTTTATACAAGGCCCAGACCTCACAACCACAGTATGAAATGCCAAAGCATTATCATTCTTGATAAATATCATTTGAATAGGCCTATTCATCTTTAGAAAGCTGAAAAGGTATCATTTAAAACATTTTAAAAATTCAACAATATGATTTAAAGATTTTTAATTCTGATCAGCTTTACCTTGTTGAATGCAAAAAGCTCTTTCTGTATTCTCTGCCGTTCCGCACTCGGAGCATGCGGCTTCCGATGAAAGATTCCCTTTATTTTACTTGCCATGGTTGCAAGAAAATATGATCCAAGGCTATGGGTTACCTTCTACTTCTGTAAGAGCAACACAGACCAAAAACAAAACCAAAGTAAGCCAGAGCAGCCAATTTAGCCTACTTCCAAATTCCATACCACAACTGGTAAATATCAAATCTAAACAAATTAAAATGCATGTCAAACTGCAATCCAATGAAACTTGCTATAATCACATTCTTCTTGCCAGTTGTTATTTCAAATTAGAATTTAGATTTTATAAGGGCCAGGTTTATAATCCGTAAAACGATCTGACATAGTGCACGCAAAACCGTCCGAACAAGGTCCAGAATATCTGTCCACGCACGCGACGTCTGATGCAAAGCTGGCGCGCGCAGAGCACTGTAGAGAGAACATGTGACATTGTACGCATCGTGGGTTGGGTCACTTGACAAACGGTTGACAAAAACCACTTGACATACAACGTACAATTATACTCGCATCAAGAACAATCGCACATACCACCAGCAGAACCTGCAAAAACACAACGCCTGTAACTTTCTTGATGTTAACTACTTACCCGATTTCACTACCAAATTACAAGATCCTACGATACTGTCGATAGTATGAATTAAATGATTTCAGTGAAGGCACGTTGACACTCAACGCCTAATCCCTCGCAGGCGCGGCATGCACGTCGCATAAGGTATACGTACACAAGTACAAAACGTAGCGGACAGAATCGTTTGATTTCATATTTGGACCGCTCTACCGTCCTGTATGCATCCGCGCAAAGATAAAAACAGGAAATAGGTGTAGAAACTGTGCACTTCCATTGCGGAATTTTAGATTCGTTCATCTGCTGTAATCAGTTATCACGTTTCATTAATTTGTCGGTAAGTTTTGGTCACCAAGGCAAAACTGGTTGATACTATTTTTCTTCCGGATATCCCTCCGCACGTTGTGAAATGTCACGTGACCTTTGACTTATTTACATGACACGGCACAAACTTTGACAGTTATCACTACGTTGCATGCTCGTGATTGTGGTTTAAACCAAAGATCGTTTAGTTTGAACCGCAAAATTCAAACACTGGTATTTTCTCATAAAATCTATTGTTAATCGTGTATACGCATATATCTAAAACTTATGAAACCTTGGAAATGGCTGTTGGGTGGTGTTTAGAACTGGTATAAATAAGTGTAAGAAGTATATACAAATTATCGTATTTTTCTTGAAATCATAGAGCTAAATTGTAACAACAGCTCTATGGTTGAAAGTGAGTTATATCATAATTAATAAATTAAGCTAGAAATTAAATTTACAAAATATATAATAATGAATAAAAACCGATAATATCTTGTTGATTTTTATTCAGCATTTTCTAATTTATTCTGCCAAAAAGTAAAATATATAGAATCTTTTATTAAGAAGGATAATATTGTTATTATTTGTAGTTATTATATTACTAAAGATAGGACCCAGTGTCCTCACGTTGTTTTGATATGTATTTCCTCTGCTTGAGGCACGGCACGTACATTTCGATGGCAAGCGGTAAATCATGTTTATTCATGAGTCATCGACAACACACGACGCGTTGTTGAACACTAAAAAATATGACTCACAGAAATTAAAATAATGGCTGATTCATGTGGTACCAAAGCCTCAGGATAGCCGGACAAGTCATTTGTATTAATCATCCAAATTCGTGCTATACACCCATCTGGTGTTACGAAGCTAATCATTGTTTATCTATAGCACGTTTAAAGTTTTGACACCAAACTGAGAAGTAGTTCCGTCTAAATTTATTTTTTTTTCCTCGTGAATGTTTTAAATCTGGACATTTGAAACAGACGAGCAAGGCTGTTAACTCACTAAAAAGACCTCACGTGCGTCAGGCCACTCACGCAACAGAAATAATGAGCTTGACAGAAGCAAAAAAAAAAATTTAAAAATCGCTAGCGATTTCGACATCCGAGAACATGTCCGTACAGTATCGGCCCTGGATGATGACATCATTTCATTGGAATGTCATTCACGTACGCGAACAGGTGGTGTTTATCTGATATAAATAAATATACATTTAAGCCGTCATAAATATGTCTGTCCTCTAAATTTCCAGATTTACCATGCCAGTTTGATCAACAGTTTCCAGGGAATTACTGGATGCAAGCTGAACATCATATGTGATAGTTCAGATAACAATTTTGACTATTTAATTTTTTTCTGCAGTTCAAATTGAGAATTAAGCATGTTTCAAAGGTTCTTTAGGAGCCATGCAATTCAAAATAACTTAGGCTCTACTGCATGTCGGCAATAATGAAAGGTTAAGTGCAAAAACTGTTGCAACCTGCTTACTGACTCGACAGTGTCCATTGAGGTTCTGTAAAAAAAATTGTCGGTGCATGGAGGAAGGAATAGTTTCAACAAAGCATTAAAGGACGAACCAACGAGTACGTTGTTTTACTCGTATTGATATCGTAATTAATAGGCCTATACACGTCTCGAGTAGCTTCATGAAATTGCACTTGTGATAAAACAAATTCAATATCATAATTATTTCCATATGACTTCTTGGGAAAAAATAATAATGATGCACATCGGTGATGGTGAGAAGCTTTCATATAAATAAGGCAATCCCAACTTTATTCAGAGAAAAAAAAAGTACAATTCAGCTTTGTTATTGTTCATACAATCACTTTACCTTTCTATGCTCATGCAATGGTTGGCGAGCAGGCAGGAAAAAATTTCACGAAGTATAAAATTCCCTCAGGTCTGAATTCGCAAGGTGGTGAATGGATAATCTGTTTGCCACCAGTTTTTTCCACAAGAAAGTATTGCAATACTTCGATAGCAGAAAAGAATATTAAAATGTTGTTCCGCAAATTTATTTTACGCTTTGTGGGTGTTTGTACGACGCTGCACGTTTCAGGGGACGCTTGGAACACCTGTCTCAAAGTGCTATTGTACACTAACTTTGAAAGAAGTAGTGATCAATGGACCGGTCGATTTTCCTGCAGGGGTTGCAGACGTGATGTGATTTTAGTTTTTTAATATAGTTTCTAAGTTAATTTCGGATGTACAAGTTAAGGCAGTTAAGGTCATTTCTGTGTTTTATATGAAGAGACGAAACACTGCTTTTTTAATAAAACAGCAATAAAGAAATGCCTGAGAGGTAAACGAAATTCTCGACGCCCCTATTCAAATCTTGTGGTTGAATTTCGAGCAGTCTTGATCAATATGAAGGAGACCTTTGGTCAGTTCGCGACCGTTTATTTTTCTTTGAATAATAGATATGTCTGGTCGCTGGATTCAGCGCAGACAATGGTCATACAGTTGACGGCTATTATTACAAGCGAAACGCAAATACCAGTAAAAGCACTCAACTGCCAGCGGGTAATGGTGACGTCAAGAAAAATGCAAATTTGCTCTGAATGTACCGCCTTACATGTGTTTGAATTCGTTGCGTTTCAACAGTGCTTGTCTATTGTGTGTCAAGTCGACACGTGCCTAACTAAATCCGACATAATAGGCCTAAATATCCCTTTAGAATATGTCTTACTGTTTTACATTTTCAACAGGCAATAATTATCCACGTGCCGCAGTGGTTCAGCCTACTTCAAGCAGTTAGTTCATCGTTCAAGAGAGGGCGCGATTGAGATTTCTCGTAGTGGGGATAACAGGCAAAAGGAGGAAGATATTTTACACAATACGTCTTTGCTTTAAACTTCAAGGGTGTATCCTATCAAAATTCTACAATTTGTCTTGCTTTCCACCACCCCCCATCACTATCACATGGACATTTTGTACGTTAGTAAGAAACAGCTTATGAATTATCGTTTTGCACTGCAACAATTTTTTGCGCCTACAAGCTTGACAAGTTGAGCACTCTCTGGCCGCACATTGTTATGCTCTCATATCGTACTTGGCTTTGTGGTAGGCCTCATTTAACCCCAAGGCCAACTTCATCATCAAAATAAAGCCACTAATGGGCCATGTGCGTGCTATCACCTCTTCAAAAGCGGTTGGCCTCGGCCCTGGCCAGCTGTTTTGTTTTTGTCTGCTCTCCTGACCGAATGTGGGACATCGTGGGTTTGGTTCAAGGTGAGATATTTTGCCTAGATTGGGCCATGTTGACGACAACACATGGAAAGACCAGGCCTTAGCATGCAATTTAGTACGAAGTAAATGGAGTTTTATTATTACAGTTTTACTTCTCTCCACACGAAACGCATTGTGCAATATCGTAAAATTCCCATAATATTTAAAACAATATTGAAAGATGAAATGTGGAAAAGGCAAGACCGAGGAGAGAAAAAAAAATCCTATCACTGTAAGGGTCAGTGTACCCATATTAATATAAAGAACAATAAAAAATTAAACAAAACAAAAATGCACATTATAACGCACAATTATTTACACATTAATATTAGTATCAAAACAAAATGGGGAACTATACTCCGACGGGTATCTCCACTAGATCATCAATCAAGAAGGCAGCTGTAGACAGGTTTTGGGAAGGTGAGAAGAGGGATGCAGAACAACGAATTTCAATAGAGGCTCTGCGTGGTAGCCGTCCTGCAGGCATTTCTTTTGTTCCATAGGGAAACCTCTTTTGTGCAGATCCCGTGGAACAACAGCATTGGCCTGCAACGTGGCAGCAATGCAAACCCTCTAAAGGTAACAGATTCCACAGAGGAGTCAAGCGACCGGGGAAAAAAACACTCTCATTCATACTCTATCATTCAACAATACGCAACTACTTTAAATGCTAAGATACAATCTGATCGAACACTCAGTTAGATCTCGGTACAACTGCCACACTGGACAGAGAGTTACACAGCTTGTGGATCAAGAAGACCGTGACGACCGTTATACCACACAGTCCGTCACTGCAAAGCTGCGTGCAGTGGTCGTTACAAGGATTATCTTCATTTAAATCTAACGGTTTTATGAAGAGTTTGACAAAGGCCAACAGAGGACATCCGAAGTGGGCAACAAACTTTGGGCAAACAACAAAGGTTATACGCTTCAGCGCTATTCTATTGGATCAAACCTTACGCTGAAAGCAACCCTACGATCTGCATATGGTCATCGTTTGAGTCTTGTCCTGAATATCTGTGTAATTCGAGTGTGTGAAGTATTAATGATCAAGAGCTCCACAGCGCAAGGTGCCACAAAAATGTCCAAGTTGGTACTATACTTCTCAAGGGTATGGTGTGTGCATGCAAAGGGTAGGCTTATGTGGGCCATACGATCGTTCAAGCGGTTGAAAAAACAAAAAGAGGCCAGAAAAGAGTGTAGAAATACATGTACATAATTGTCGGAAAGCGGGCTGAATTTCAACTTTGGATAACAGTTGTGAATGTTTAAAACCTCCAAGGCACCCATATCTTTTGGAATTTCCCACTGTCGGCGTATGGAGTATGTTAGTTCTTTCATAGTGTTGGGAACTTTAAAAAAAACAAAAACGAAGACACTGCGTGGACCTGCACAGTTCTACACATCTCCCTATTTGAAAAAAAGAAGAGTTTACGAGGTACTTTGGAGTAAGGGTTGTGAGCTGCAAAATTAATAGGAACAATCAAGGAAACCATCCACACAAAAACCAGCTGAAATGAAACAGTTCATCTACTAGCAAACAGACAACACATCTTTCAACTTTTCCGCCATACTTTAATCTGTAACTGCACTTTGCGTGCGTTTTTTTTACAAGAATTCAAAGTCCGGCTGGAATTTGATCTCAAAAGGTGTAGGAACTGCAGAATGTATTTACATGAATGGCGTTGCATATGCATTTTGTGATGGCATTAACTACAATTGTACACTTTGTATACACGTATAAATACCGCATGGAATAAAGGCACATACATTGTTACATCCAATGGAATTATGCTGCTCTAAATACAAATCGCCCTCTGCTGAGTTTTACCGCTGATGTATATGTATATAGCAACTGATACCAATGCAGTACTGTTATACTATAGGGTTCCATTAATCACTGATTCGAAAAAGGGGTTTGTCCGAGTCCGTTGGCGCACTGTAGCATCTTTATGACTATATAATGCCTCAAACGGTACAATCGAATTGGGTAAATATTTCAAGTTCGTATTTTGAAAGGTGGAACAAAGGCCTGTTTCCAAATCAAACAGAAACGTGAACTTTTTTTACATAACAATGTTCTATTTTGGAGAAAAAGAATAATATTTTGCCATTCCCCACCCAAAAAGCAAGTTACAATTGGCACATGCGCATGGCCTTTGCCCACTATGGATAATTGGGTTAAAGTAAGTCACGTTCACAAACTGTGGTAATTTAAATTAAAAACGTAAAGACGAATGACGTGCAGTGTATGGCAAAAATTTCTGTTACCAGCAGACAAGACACAATTTTAAATCAGGCGGACAAAACCATCTTTTAAAACTACTTCTGCCTATAAAATCATATTAAATTCCATTCTGATGTTATACTGAAAGAATGACTTTAAAACCACTTATTTTCATTGACAAATTTCATTCCAAAATTGCTTATGCTGTCACATAAAGTCACCTTGTCTGGTTTATTGGAAGGCAATTTTATTGATGCTAAAATTTCAGTTTTCAGTTAAAATATCTGAAACACTGAAAGGTGTAGATTATAAAAAGAGATGTTCTCAGAATGAAACCGCTTTGAATCAAGCATAATGACTTTAAAATTTGCACACAGCTAAATTTTTCTACACAGCAATGTGTTCATTCACAACTTACAATAAAAATAATAAATTTAACAAACAAAACCAGGCAAGCTGTAAGCACGTGAAAAACAAGCAAATAGCACACAGAACGTCAGTCAATTCCATCTGCAGTGATCTTGCGCGAAATTGGCAGAAATATTCCATCTTATTTGTTAGGAACTGCTCCCCCTCCCAAAAGAAAGTTTGGTCAGAGTCAGAGTGAAAAACACATCAGTAACATACGCCTGTTCCAAATATCTGTTGCTTAACACACAAGTAATAACAAACTATACTGCACTTCATTACATCTGATTTGGCAAAAAATGAACTGAAACTATGCCCTTTATGACGAGTTTCGCGGAACCGAGAAAAAAACCACACACGTGTAAATACCACTGAAAACAGCAATAACTTACTTTCACTTTCTTACACTTGTGCAATGAAACAATCCTGATATAACTTTTTTTTGGTCTGAACAGACCTACCTCATTTGCATTTCACTGGTCATGGCATCTTTAATGCTTTCTTTCAACGATACATTTGAAGTTTTAAATATTTTGTTTCAATCTCTTTACCTTAATGCTCATGGTTAAGAGTGTAACTGCTTTATAGTTTTGCCCACCAACACTGCCATGAAATAATATGAAAAAATGAAATAAGTAAACCTCTCTTCTACTGAATTGTTGGCCAGGTTGCTTACCTTTTCATAAATCATCAATATACAAAAAGTGTTTTTGACAGAACAAAAATTGCATTTGCCTAAATCTGCCTCAAACCTTTCAGCGAGATTTAATTTAAGACTGGTGACGATGCAGTGGACCCGAATGCAAGACCAAATAATCTGTTCAATTGAAATTGCGCTCTTTACACAATGATCTTTCTGAATTGAAAAATAAAGTATGAAAATTACGCTGAACTGAAAATTATCATGAACTTCTTCAGTAAGTGTGCAATGATATGGCTTCCCTTGCTAACTGTCTGAAGACAAAAACAATATATTTCTTTACAAATGCTCATTCTTGTCAAATTCCAATAGTTCTCCCCTAAAAAAAATAAACCACAGAACAAAATATCAGTGACTCGGCTGAAAAAACTTGGCATTGTCTAGAAGAGGGTACATTTCTTATTTTCAGAAGTGGGAATCTGTGTTAGTTTCAATCTTGACAAATGACAAGCAAAGTGGAAGAATGAAAATGCTAAGACTTTGCTGTTATCAGATAAACAAAATAACATAATACTCATCTTCATCTAAACGAATTCAGAACTTGTAAAATGGAACGTGTCAGCTGGAGAGGTTTTACCACTGAACTGGCAGTAGTAAAAAGAAGTAGAAGCCTAAGTGGCAGCTATGTCTTCTTACTGAGGTATGAAGACTGGCCCTGACAGAGTGACCTCCAACATGGCCCCTGGAAAATCTAGAAAAGCCATGCCATCACATGTAAACCCTACATGATGTTCCATGAGGCATGTACCACAAATATGACAAATCGAACAAATCGAAGGAGTTCGAATCCTACTGTGCTAAAACTAAAGCCTGCAAAGTAGTCCCGCACATGGCATTTTGATCAAAAAAGTAAAATTTCAAATCGTTATATTTTCATCAATTTCCTGTATCTACAATTTCAACAGTTCATATAGCTCTCTTTCATACAAAAATACTTTAATACACATTTGCCTGTTATCAAATCATATTATTCAAAACAAACTCACTCCATATTCGTAACACCTCCTGATCACAAGAACTTTTACGGGAAGTATTAAAATGTTACTAAAAATCTATACTTGCATACTTCAAACAGAACCAATGCTAACACTGGGAATCATAACTTGTAAAATAGTACCATAGCTGTTTAGACTGGAGTTAGTGATTTGCCAGAGTGAGCAATGTAAACTAAGTGTTTGATAAGAGCCTTCTTAAAATGTCAGAAATGAACCCCAAATTTTCCATGATATTTTAATCATCTGAATGACTAATCAGGACATCTTAAGTTTGATATGCATGACAAAGGACACTACATTTGTATTGTAGAGACTAGTCTGGCAACCTGAAATAGAAACAAAATACTACGGTGGTTTCACACAGACCCAGGGCGGATCAAAAACTGCGTTTTTAAGGGGGGGGGGCTTAACTTTTTCAGCGTGTCCCAAAAATTTAGAAATTGCCTTTCGGAGGGATGAGACTACATTTTGGGGCTTCTTATACACCTTTTGAAGGAAGAGAAATAAAATGGACCCAAAAGTGTGCCTTTGTCTCATTTAAATTTTCAAAACAAATGTTATGGTTCCTTGGGTAGGGGACTGGACATGGCCGCTGTTCCTTCATCCTATGGACCCCCCCCTTGTCACATGCATGTCGTATGTGCACACTAAATTCCTTTTCATGTGGCACCTGCGTGAGTGTGGCGCCAAGGCAGTTGCAGCATCACCTTGGATTGATAGATCCCTCCACAGGTTGCTGCAGAGCACTGAGCATAAGGGGCCACTTCTACAGGAAGAGTACCAAGTTTTCCTTCTTATTTTTCACACTGAAGGAAAACAATGCCTTCATTCCAGGATAGCATTCAAGACCGTGCTAGCCAATTTTCCAGCAATCAGCACTCTTCATGATCAGTGACAGGGATATAAACTCGTAACCAAGGTTTTGTTGAGCAACTTTCTGAGAACAAATCCACTTTTTCTATACCAGGGGCCAAATTCGTTTGCAGAAAAAGTGCCATTATGTAATACATAGCCAAAAATGGTGCTAATGTTTTCTTATATGCCTAGATATGCTGGTGCAGATATGCATATCAAGATTTCTGTAAAGATATCTGAAAGAAATGTATATTCTGCCTCTGGATTTAGCAGGATCATTTTACTATGTAAACTCATTACAGTCTGTGTGAAATGCGCAATGGTTCATGTGCTCACAAGTGCAGTGAAATTGGTCCCAAGCCCTTAAAGCCAAGTAAAAAAAAAAACCAGTTTCTCGTCCCCACTTGCTTCTTTTCTCCCACCTTCCTCCTTTCTTTTCTTCACTTTTTAGGGTTTCCTTTTAAACTCTTCTTGTATTTTTGACTTCTTATCTGTTCCTAACAAAACGTACCATTATGTTTGCATGTTCAAAACTGAGGGTGACAGCTCCTTGACAAATAACAATGTCCGCAGAAGAATGGAGAAAAATGCAACTCCCCCTCTCGGAAAACTCCACTACCTTGTGAAAAAAATGGGGCTGCCTCCTCCCTTCAAATATTTTGGACGAGAAACTGTTTTTATTTTGACATGGACAAATACACGCAGATATGCTTCCCTCCGGAGAAACACAAAGTTTGGTCCATCCAACTAGATCATTAGCCTAGAAAAGTGCTTGGATTTCAAGCTAAGCCACTCCGATTACCCTGAACAGTCCTGCACTCTCCGATTTCAATCAAATTTTCTACAAAGTCAGAGTTTAACATCAACTCACAGGGCTTCTGACTAACACAAATCACCGAGTACAACAGCAAAACACAGGCTCTTGATCAAGCTAGATAGAGGATTTGATATGAAAAATAGGACTTTTTAGGAAGGAACCTGTTGTCACGTGTTTGGATCCAGGCTCATAAGGGATGCGACGCTGCCATGCCGCTTAGGTCGGATCTCAAGAAGCTCGGGGTTCCGGTCCAGGATTCGGGCAAGGATGCGGCCAATGTACTCCCTTAGGTCTCGGTTCAGCTGTTCCTCCTCCCGAAGAGCTTGCATAATCTGATGGAGATAGGTAAAAACAAAAGGGCCTTTTCAAAAAGTTCCTTCAGTGCAAAGCTTCTCAAATACTGAAGCGGATCCAACAAAATTTGTCTTGAGGCCATGTTTTCAGCGATTCTGTTGTGGGCATTAAAAACAGCCAATCAAACTCTGTTTTTAATATATCACTCAATTTGGAATTCTGACGAATATGGACACTATGTGGAAGAAAATGCTTACTGATGTCTACTGTACAAGGTTCTTTTAAGGGCATTAAGCTCTAAGTGGCTAAGTAACTTTTCTTTTCATAAGGCTGGTCACTGCTCTTACTTAAACATCATGCCTGTATCTGACAATTTCAGACTTACATCATCTTTTGATGACTTCTCCAGCTCGGAAGCAAAGGACTCTGACCTGGACGTGCCCCGGTGCAAGAGGCTCCGGCCAATTTGGAAGCCATCGTTTAGCATCTGGGCACTCATTTCATCATTGCTGTCTCTCAGGTTGGCATTTTCCTGGAAAGGAAGCCAAGAGCCCCCAATCAGAGGCCTCCTGTAAGCACTACCTTAACAACAGCGGGATACCGACCAATACGGCATGTATTATTACCTGCTTATGAGTGGTTCTGGGCAGCTTTTAAGCAAACAATTTGCTAGGAAACATTTTCTGTTAAGTAACTGTGACACCATGCCAAGGAGGTCGAAAAGACAGCCAATGCTTTCAGAAAATGAGATTGTGTTCAAATATGAGCAATAAGAACAGTTTTCTGGACACAGACTGTAATGGCACACAAACGCACAGGTTGCAATTCAAATGAATCTGTAAGTCTTTTACCTTCTTAAGTCTTTGTAACTCATCCTTAATTTCTGAGAACCGGCTCGGCAGGTCTGAGATGCTGGGGCTTCTCATCAACCGAGCTCCGTACTCGCGCTGCTCAAGATTCTCTCGCCGCAGTTCCTCGATCTCCCGGGACAAATCTTCCACAAGCTGCCAAGGTATGAAGTAAAGGCTAGTCAGTCATGAGCTTTCTACAGAAGGAGGACATTTTAGATCCCTGAATCCATTCTGTTTGTTGAACACTATGAATGGGAAGGAACCTGACTTCTTTGCTATACTTGCAAGTAAGGCCTCACTTTTAAAACAAACTCTGATGACGCTTCATCTATAACTTTGAACAACCCACTGAGCCACAAAGATGACAATCTATAATCTGCCACAACTACGTCACCTTTGTTCCAACACCTAATAAGTTTCAGAAACTTTGTATAGGAATCGCCTTACTTTCGATTTATGATGGTCAACTCGGAAATATTGCCAGTGGGGGAAAGGGGTTAAAATAAACAGCATGTCACCATTTTGTGTTTAGAAAAGGCCTGTTTTAACTATCCTTCATTGTTCCATATGCGCACACTGCACTGACACATTGCTATATAGAATTCAAAAGCCACATGAATGGAAATCATCCCTGTTGACACAAGAACTGAAAACTTCAGTTTATGCTTTAGATGAAATATAAACTGCTATAATTGACACCATAGTTGACACCATAGTTGACAGCATACTTGACACTGTAGTTCACACCATAGTTCACACCATAGTCCTCACTATAATTCACACCATAGTCCTCACCATAGTTGACACCATAGTTCCTGTTGCTTATCAAGCAACAGTCAACATGAATAACTATTTAGCAATACCAACTTCATCTAATGATACATTATAGATAATTTAACCGGCAGTTTTCCTGTAGTGAGGAATATCCAAATTTAATGAAGATTTCAGTCCCCCATATAAAGACTATATGCTTTTACTGAACTCCAGACTGAATGAACGTAATATGAAACATTCAACAACTCAGGCTGGAATATATTGATTTAAAACCCACAATTTACCACAGTGGTGGTGTACTGTGGTGTTAGTGAGTGTCGTATTGAGTAGACCTAAGGGTGAAAGGATAAATGCATGGGTTGTTGTACAAATTTGGGATCAAATTTTGTCACATCCCAGTCACATCTCACATATAATTTGTAAATTTGGGAAACATTCTGAAATTTCCAAGAGGTAAATGCAAATTACCTGCTGAACAGATAAAAATACTTTGAGGCAATTTCAATATTTCCAGGTGGAATAATTACATATGTAAGGCATAACAGGGATGCCAAATGTCGTGCTTATGCAGTTTGGATCCCTAATTCGTAGAATGCCCCGTGTTTAAAATCATCAGTTATGCCAGTATTAGAGATGAATCTGTCCTTTTTGTAAGCCTTTCCCAAGACTAGTCATAAGTAACAGGGTGAACAATGAATAAGGACTGCTTTGCTCCCAGTACATTTGAATAGCGTGTGACTTGGCTTAAGACTAGATGACTTGTGATGGACTTTCAGGGATGCATGATGGACTCAACACCAGGCTCAGCAAATGTGACTTTACCACGTTATTGGCCTTCAGTGTCTCCTTCATCTCCGTTCTTTCCCGGTGGTGATTGTCTTGCTTCTGTTGGTAATCCATAGACAGGGCCAGCCACCTGTTATCCAGGTCTAGCACCTGGGCTTCTAGCCTGCTATTCTCCTACGAGAAAAGATGTGAAAGGGCCAAATACAGATTGTGACTATCATGTTACATTTTTGTCTTGGTTGAGTACAAATTTATGGTAAAAACGTTTTTAGTACTGAGCTCAATGTAAAAAAGCTAGACAGATCATTGGTTGTCAGAAATGAAGAAACTGTGCTCCGGACAACGGCTATGTCCAAAACGGGCTTCCAGAGCTACGGCTACACACATAGGTCTAATGTCTTGGTGTTTCAACGTATTTCCTATGGAGCCAAGTCCCAGACCTAGCTCTAGACAACAGATTTGGACGCAGCCTATGACTCAATAAAGAATACGTTTGTACTTTTTTAAATGATTGGAGTGGTTTAGACTGCATTGGGGACCAGTGGAAACTTCACTTGCTTGTACAACTCAGAATAGCCAAGGAATTATCTAGATATTTTTGGAAACCAGTGGTATTTCAGGCAAAAACAGGTACACGCGTAAGTATGAGCACCAGGGTCATAGCGGTCTCTTGATAACAAACTGGTCAAAACCTACAAGGGGCAGTTGGTTCTACAAGGGGCCAGTACATCTTCCTCTGCAATGTTAAAAGGTCTTGAAGCACACACTGACATTGATCATTCAGAGCATTAGCCTCATGCAACTTATCTACAGGCAGCCTACAGAGTGAGCTTCCTGCATCATTGACCAGATATTACTGATTTATTCAAAAGGGGGGGGGGTTACACGAACAGGGACTATGTCCCTCCTAAAAGAGCAAAACTTTCTGTTTGTATGTACAGCGAGACATTTTTTTCATTTCCTTTCCTTTCAAAAGTGTATCAAAAGCCCCTAAAATTATCCTCACTCTGAGAAAGGCCTTGAAGGCTACCCAGATAAATTTCTTAATCTTTTGCCTCCACATACAATAATGATGCCCCTCCCCCTAAAAAAATGTTGTTCTTGATCCACTCTTAAACACACCACTTATGATGGGAGAATTCTTGACCTAACGCCCAACAGCATTCCATCTGACATTATCCACCGCTGGGTGTCTTACCTGTTTTAGGTGGTCCATTTGTGTCTTTAACCTGGAGGTTTCTGTCACGTGCTGGGTCTTTTCTTCTTCAAGGCTTGCTATTCTGTTGGCCAAAATGTATTTCTTGATATTTAAACTGACTGTATCTGCCAGCCTTCTCTGTGAAAACTAGGTGACCTACACAGACCAGCTTTAGCAATTTTTCCCACACTTATCCAAAATCTCCCAAAGTCCATCAAAAAAGAACACAAGGCAGAAAAATCCACCTCAACAAAATGGTCACTTCATGGGTTCTGATAACCTGGACTAATAACATGCTACTCACAAACATCCTGCATATAGGCCTAAAAACTGAGCCAAGGCTGATATGTTATAATAACTATCTCACTAAAGATCCCTTCGATTTACATTACCTGTTTGTTAACAACTCTATCTGTTCCTCCATCTCCTTTTCTTTCTTAGCCTGAGGAATAAAAGGAAGACCCCAAAAGAGTGGTGATGAGCATGATGTACGGGGGTAATGACTGCTGGCTCACTAGGCCAGGTGATGTGGAGAGCTGTCACATAATCATGTCAACTGCTCAAAGTGACAAGGGTACCATTTCTGTTTCTCAAGCCAGTATGATTGAGCAAGTCCTCAAATGTCAACAGCGAACAAATCATTGTACATCAGGGTTGACAACGTACATTAAACATCAGCCTCTCTGTATAGAAATAATGACTACATAAGAAAACCAACAGCATCGTTCCGTATGCTTTGAATTTCATTTGCTGAGTGAGGAAACTTTAAAATCGAAATAATTTTTGCAAGCGCTCACTAGAGTCTAAACTGATGGAAGTTTGTTGAAAAAAAAAAAGGTCATATCTGATGGAATACACTTTTCAAGGGGGGACTAAAGGGTTAAGATTCAGTCAACTTTTAGGCTTGACTGTAAAGACACATATTTGATAAAGACACCTTGGATCAAACTGACAGAATATTTACCATCAGGTCTTTGTGTCTCTTTATATGTTCATCCTCTCTCTCTTGGTGTTTCATCTCGACTTCCCGGATTTGCTCCTCTAAACTCTGAACTCTGTGAGATGAGAATTAAACCAACCTCGCTGAGTTTGGTGTATAACTGTCTGAAGCTAGGATTACACTGCTTCTGTTAATTAATTCCTTGGATACACTCTCACGACCAAGGATTAAACACAAATACATGTAGTGTGTGAAAACCATATGTTGGGAATGTAAAATACCAATCCTGGTGCTAGCCTTCAAGCGAAGTGATCTGAAAATGTACGTGTATATTGTCATTGTACATGGACGTGTAACTCATGTCAAATTATGTTTTAAAAACCCTCCAAGCTCAGACTCAAGGTGACAGTACTTCACATATTCCTCACATTTGTGGGGGCCATTCACTGGAGTAGAGATGTGGTAAACCTTTTGCAAATTTGTGGTGTAAAAAAAAGAAATCAGTCCTCCAAGTAGACACTTATCAAATGTTTAGCACGTATGATAGAAAATTGACATTCTGGCACTTAAGCCTTTCAACCTCAAATACCTGGAGAACTGACCACAGTTCAACTGGTATACAATGTGACCCATCATTCTGAGTATAGCTGTGTTAATGATCTCTTGTAATTAACATCATGCCAACCAATACATGTACATGTACTGTGCCTAATTACTTCAAGACCTCTGTTGCGATTGAAACACAGATGTCTTATCTGCTCACCAGTTTCTTGCAATCTCTGTTCTCTTCCTGACAATACTGTAACCACTTGCTATCTTTTATGGCAAGTGGAAACAATTTAATTGATGTTGAAATTCACTCAAGCACCTGTCTATCTGTACACGTAGCTAGATTTGCTTATCACTGTATGCACAACTTTGTGTCCAAGTCAGCGCTTGCACTGAAATTGCTGTATTTTGATAACAAAGTAAGAACTGACAGGTCAAGTATTGTTAACAATTAAGCCACACTTGACTTATGATCCATCAGCCATGTTCAAAGAATATCCTTCCATACAACCCGATGGACAATAACTGAGATATGGTGATAATTTGTGATAACATGCATTGTCAGTGGCTGTTCCTGTTTGTACAGTTGGATGCCAGCCTGTGTGTGGGCATAAAATTCATTCCAACTATTATTATTTTTTTTTTTGCTGAGAATCTGATTAATAAGAAAAGTTCTAAACATTAAAAAAAAGTTACTCTTTGGTGGCAAGATTTTTGCTTCGCTGGGATAACTTCAAGTGAACCTTTTGTGCATTTGTTGTCAATTAATACTAACGTAATAAGAACAAAACAGCCTCAGAGACACCTTAGAGACGCCAGCAATGAATAACCGCTCTTGCTCATGAGCGAGTTGGTTAGAACTTACTGATGCATGAGCTTGAGTTTCTCGCTTTGCAGTTTCCCCTGATGCCCCACTCTTGTCGCCTTGTCCTGTTCTAATACCGTGACTTGCGTCTCAAGCTCCAACACCTAAACAACAAAAACAAATGAATACATCGCTGTAAGTATCTCAAGGAGCTAACTCCAGTTTGCTTTCCATCCAGATTTGAAACGCTGCCTCAACGGAAATGAAGCTCTGGTGGTGGTGGTGGTGGGGATCTTTTCATCTGGGTAGGTGATGCACAGGCAAATAGAGTCCATTCCATAATGGACAGTGTATGCTCAGAATGTTCAAGGCCTAGCATGCATAATCCTGCATGTGAACATGGTGTGTTTCCACCAAAGGATCACTCTTTTATGTATTGCTATAATATGTACAAGTTCGTACACCATCTCTTGTTCCTACACAGACCAGACTACAAGGTACAAAAGTTGTCAGAGATGCATGTATGACTGAATGTGAAGTTCCCCTGGAGACAATGTCAACTGAATTTATAAGCAAAGTCAAGGTAAGCTGGGAACCGGTTTTTACATGTATATTAGCAATAACAAGTGAAGCCTGGCAGCCCGTTGCCGTGTGTTGGAACATTTCCTGATGGTTTTACATGTACATTCTTCATTAGGCACATTTCTCTGCTTTGCTGCCCCCTAAATTTTACCCTGGGAGGACAAAAGTCACATGACACTGTGGCATTCATGATTTACCTCATAACCTAGTGTAGATCCCAAGTTGAACCCTGAATGGTAATAAGTCCATCCCATGTCTGGACACGAGCACGAGTCAATTAACATCAATGTAGGAATATCTCTCAGCCTTTGCTAGAGTTCATTTGAACAGCTTGTGGAAAAGTTACAAGAGACTCTTGAAGTACCTCATGATATGATCTATATAGACCCCCAGGCTGTGCCTTGAATGATCAGTAATGAGCCAATCCCAAGCCTCGTTGTAATCAGAGGCTGAAGAAGAATAACGAGAGAATGCCTCCCAGCCATTTGCTGCAGTTGAACAGCTTGTGACTGGGCTGGCAACTGGATGACTTGTGACAACTTCATTACAACTCTGGATAAGTCCCTGCCCGGGGACATGATCTGCGCATTACAGATCAGACAACAGAATGAAGAAGGCAATTTCCGCATAGCGAGTGTCTGAATCAACCGGCTGCAGCAGGAAGTAGCACATGTCTACGAGAAGTGGTTTTTCATGCTGATTCTAAGCTGTACTAAGCAAGATGAGGCCAAACTGGTGGGACCCCACTGGCATTGTGTGTTTCAGAAAGACAAACTTTACATGAACACGCAAATTCTAAACAAATACAGGTATTTACATCGGTGTCTTCTTGTTTAAAATAATTTCAATAAGCAGATATTTGCCTTGGTGTGACGAACAAAATACTGTTGCATCCCTCTTAATTTTTGTGTAGGCCATCGTCACGGTGCCCACGGTGCCTATTTGATGAAACAGCCGGAGCTGTGGTGGTGCTGATAGAGTATTTTTTTATTGCACTCAAGTGGTTTTATTTCCTCCTAGATACTGTACTTGCAGATCCAGTCCCTGGCCTGAAGACCACTGGTTTGAGCTCACAGCCACTGGGTTAAATTATTGATGAGTTTTCACCGCTTTACACAGCAAAAAACACAGTGTCGTTCTGGTAAGAGCCACCATTTTCAGATAATGTGCTCAGAGTGCAGCATAATTTAGAGACCAATAGATTACAAAGCCACCCACCTTATCGTTGAGTTCCATTACGTCTGTGTCCGACGCTGCATACTCGCCATAAAGCTCATCGATAGCACCTTTATGGGGCAGGTTACTGGACGATGAAGACCTGTACAAGTGGCTATGGGGAGAGATGAACGTCATATCATAATTCATTTATTGCTGCTTGAAAAACCAGGTTAGGAAGACGCAATTTACAATACGAGACAGGTGCCGTGTTAATAAGTAACAATGCACAGCCAAAAGATGAAAGTGTAATAAATTTCGATATTTCCATGGGATTCAATAATCAGAAAGTTAAGAAACACAGATTTAGGCAAAACTGTTGAGAACAGCTTGCTGACTGCAATGACCTGAAAAGTACAAATCTAAGAATTTAGTTAATCTAACGACAAAAAGAAATTAATGCCTTTGAGAAAGATTTTGTTAAATTCTCTGACATTTTTAGATACATATGGACAAACAGTGAAAGTGCCTTATTTGATGCAATTTCTGATGCAATGTTCACTGATGTATTTTATCGTTAATCCTAGTTCTCCTAAATTCATAAAAATTCCTTTGAGTTGTTTCACAGTCTGTCGCTGGATTGAGGATTTACATGTACAGCCATCAAATAATGAGGATAAAATAAGTGGGCTAATATGCCTCATTAGCCTGTACTACAAGAATGTGTTATTGATAATGGATGTTTGTTTACTTGGCAAGGAGATGACAGCTACATCTGAAATGTAAGTCCCACCGTCCAACAACTCCAGCTTTGAGTCAGTGAGTACATTTTGAATGGAATATTTTTTAAGGAAATCACATAACTAAAAATTTGTAGGTTCCACACAATGATTGTGTTGAATAAAGAGAAAAAAGGGTTGTAGGGTATCTACACTTTAACAGACAAGTTCAATCAAACAGCCATTTCAAAAAGCAATAAATGACATGTACAGTACATGTGCTTCCTTTCCAAAAACATGTACTTCTTACAAAGGTAAAAAGAGGTTAAAAAAAAATCTGAAACCTGGCACAATCTGAAACCTATAACGGCATTTTTTCTTGACCTGACAACGTGAACAGTACACAAGATGCTACAAAGTTTTAACTTAATTTATTGATTAAGAAGTTACACATTCTAAGCCAGTTTCTCATGCAACTGAAGTTTCAACTGAGTAGTGCTGTACAAAGTGGATGCAATATCTCTAGCACGTTATGGCAAATTTGTTTATGAATGTTTGCAGAATGAAGGACGTCTCTCCATGCGGCCATGCCATATGTTTCAAGGTGCAAAGGTTGGTTGCCAGTTTCGCAGAGACATAACCACCAAAGATAGCAAAATATTAACTGATATCAAGCCTGATGTGCGCAATTTATATGACAACCTGCCAAGGGAATCCACAAACTAATAGTCTCTTGGAAATGTAACACTGTTCTACAGGATTGTTATGACTTGTGATTAGGATACAAAGGAGTTGATTCGCCCTACATGTACATGTACCTTCCTGGGCAGTATTAAAAGGGTCTACATTTATGAGACAAATCTTTCTTAGATGTACTTTTTGTACAACTTCATTTTATTCATTTGGCATTAGTTTCCGATTAAGTGCATGGTCTTCGAGCTGGACCAAGAGAGGGCCCTGTTTTCTTAGCAATAGAGGCTCCTTTGGTCATAACTGAAATTCGAACATTACTTAAAATTAAAGACAGCGTGAAAACACATTTTAAAAAGCAAAGCAAAAATTGGAAATACCGTTAATGAAACACAGTATTGTATTTTTAACAGCTGTAATTTGAAAAATTACACTGCATAGATGCTAGATAGAAACTCCCTGGACTCTCAGAATTAAACACTGCGGATTTGATGACACATACACCAAAACTGAACAAAATTACAAAATGACGTCCAGTGCAAGTTATCATGTAGACATAATGAACCAAAACACTGAAAACCTATCCCAGTAACTACTGGTATATGCAGTGATAAACTGTATATTGCCAAATAACACATCAAGCGCAAATTCAAGGGTTGCATGAAATTGAACTCTCAGAAAACACAATATCTACAGAATTCTGAGTCAACGACACCATACATATGTACCACAAGACCATGGCACTCTAGAAATGCATGCCAGTCGGTTTAAGTTAAAGATTTACAACTCAACACTACACATAGGTTTGATAACTTTAGAGTTGACTATCAAGGAAGAACAAATTTCCCTTCAGGGATTTTTGTACTCACTTGGCGAACTCCTTTGAAGAGATCCGTCTGACCGGGCTGCCGAAAATGAAAGAGAAACAGCGGAATGTTATGTACATATGAGGTTTATAATTGAAAGACCACGTGACAAGCGGGCAGTGTACTGTTGAATAAATCCCCCGCAAACCATTGCAGAAGATAGGGTACCTGTTGGGAACAATTGATCAACAATTAAAGGCTGGTGCCCAATTTGTATTAATGAAAAAAGTATGTTGAAGCAATCAGTGCAGGTAAGAATTGCTGTTTAATGTCTCATCTTCCTTGCCAATTAAAGAGCAAAAACATCACATAATTTCGCTATTAAAATCTCAAAAACAATTGTAAGGTATTTTTGTCCATCATATTAACAAACTACATACATGTAGGTAAGTTTTGGGCCGAAGCGTTAGTTACATACGCAGCCAATGTGACAAAGAAGTGCATATTACATAAAGGCAGCAAAGGAACACGGCAAACCATGCAAGTCTGAACACTGTATAGTGTACACGTCACAGAGTGTTTTGAAACATATCAGAATCCAAAAAGAGAATGGACCAAAGCGTGTACAGTACCTCATGCACCAGCATACTGTCTTGAACAGAGCTCTTGCAAAACTTTTTCAGCTAAATTTGTGGCAACACATAAAGGAGTCACCGAGCTGAGTACGAGTAACGTGTAGACTCAACGACAGCACCTGAAAAACCCAGCTGGAGTTCTTGCGTGCAAAATATGATCGCTTGCTGTGAAACCAAGAGGCACTAATGCTGCTGCTAAGGTGGTACGTGCATGTCAGTGCACACAATCATTCTAACCCCAACAACAGCATAATTACTGCAAACTGGTAACTTCATAAGGCAATGGAATTCAATCTGGCAGCAAAGATGACGTGACATGGAATGTCCCCCTTCATTAACATGCCACTGATTTGCAAAGCAGGCTCACGTACATGTACATGTACATGACTGAACTTTTTTCGGCACATACAATTTTGACGACTGATGAAGTTATTGGCTTAGCGCATGGCTTGGCACAACCAGCACCCTTAGAAAGTGGCTGATTGGCAATTCAGTTTAGCAATCAACGCAGTGTTCAAGCAAATGAAAGCGTTAAATTTTTCTACCACAGTACCAATCAAGGACTTCTGGCCAATTTTGCAAAGCTGAGCATGGCACACTGTGCATGTAAATAGAACATTTTATTCTAGTTACAATGTTATTATTGCTATTAAATAAAAATGGATTTTCACAAAACTAAGACCCAATTCTACTTTATCCATTCTCATAAACCAAACATTTTGTTTGATAATCTTGATTAACTGAAATGTTGAGTTACATGTATTACTTAGCAAAGTACATGTACATGTATGTGCACATCAGAAAAGCTACTCCTATGAATACCACAACGGTGTAAATCTGAAGGAAAGAGATAAACGTACCCATTGTTAGAAATGACGGCAAGAAGCAACAGAATGGTATTTTTAGATTAAGAGAGAACAAGGCTACTGAGAATTGGCTGTTCCCATACGTGTAGCAAGAGATGGAATTATGGGCAGAAGTATCAGGTAACATTGCACATACCATACATGCACATGTAAGCACTTGCTCCGTTTTAAAACTTAATATTAGTTTATCCAACTGAAAAGTCAACTGTAATCAAAATCACAATTTCGAAATGAATATAAACTTTCAAAGTCTGCAACTGTTGGCACATGTACAACTGACAGTGTATGTACATGTATAACGACCAACTTTCCAAAACCATGCTAAATCTGATATATCGACATGCCCATCAGCACAACCTACTCCCACCTATCATCTCCAACTCCACCCCAATCAAACCCCTCTGCCCAAGCATGCGGTATGCACAAAGACATTCATATGTGCACACAGCAATGCACACCAACGACAAGTGAAACACCAATGCCAAACATCCAAGGGATCCACAAAGTTTAACAATACTTCCCACCAGCAAGCCTAATGCTAACTTCAGGAAATTCTTAATGGCAATAAAGCTGCATGTACAAGTACACTCTAGTCTACTGGATCGAGCTACCGGTACCATCTATGAGGCCTGTTTAGGACAAAATGGCTCCCACAGCCGAAACTAAAACAGAAACCATGCTGGACTATGGCATGCAAATGAACCTTTGCAAAAACAACATCCGAACGTTGCAAGTGTGCATGTAGGCCTACATTTCCAAAGTTTAGTCTACGAGTGCGTATATTGTGCCATCTTGAAAACAATTCTAATGTTTTCAAGGAGGCGATTCTAGTGTGAGCACCAACGTACATGTACTGTAACCCAAGTTGTCCATATTATTTGTGATACCGGTATCTGACAGATTGTTCAGTACATGTGCTGTCTCCTTTCACAAGTTGTATCAAATACATGTATCTGATTCACCTGTCTATGGCTCCATTAACTGTTCAGTGCATTTCACACTTTTAAACAGCTTCCTTCAGATTTCAGGATCTGGAATTTAGATACATACATGTACATGTATAAGTAGTACATGTACCATACTCTGTACATTGCAAACTTTGTGTTATCATGGCTACTGGGAATTTATCTCAACATGGTACCAATCAATACATGTGGTGTTATCTCATGCCTTAGGAATGAGATTGTACAGTGTCAATAGAACTGTGTGAAATTCAGCTCCACCTAACCAATTCGAATATCTCCTTTCCTATAATGTAGTTGATTTCACTTATATGTACATGTAATGTCTCAAATAATAGGCTTGCAGTGAGAAAAAAAGCCTACTGGTTGAAAAAGCCTAAGCCAGTACATTAGCTGTAAATTGCATTTTTGGACAAACATACGTTCACAGTCGGGGCAACTTGAGCATGGCACACAAAAAACAGGCTTCGTTTGACAGGCAAAAAAGACGAGACAAAGACATTTGGCTTTTGACAGCATGCATGGACAGCTAATACACAACAGAATAAAGAAGTTACCTAAGATACATTCTGTTGTTGCACAGGGAGCTTTGGAAAAGGGAGAAACATTACAAGAAAAGGTTACTCTTCACGATGAGTTATTGTTAGTCTAACTTGATGTGTTCTTTGTGAAGAAAAAAATGAAGATTTTGAGGTAACTGGGATTCACAGTTCATAGTCAACATTAAAACAAGAAACATGGAGATGTGCACCTATACACACAAACTTCAGTGAGAAATAACACCAACAGATTTCCATTATGCTCAGCTACGTGCACACTACCGTACCGGTACACTTGACTGTCAGACTACAAACTTTCCCAAGGTTGATCCCAACTACCCTGGAAATGCTTTTCAAAACCAGCAATCCAAGGAATTTGGAAATGACACAGAACATGGAAATGCAACAGCCAAACATCATGTACGTACCGAGGGAACAAAAGCATTCACAGGTAAGGGTTTGGTAATTTTCAACACAATGTGAAGATATGAACATGAACAATCATAGCTTCCAGGAGACGCCATATGCAGGAGTTTGCATGTGTCTATCAGACATTGACCCATGGAAATTCACCTACATGTACAACCAGAGGCTAGAGTTGCCCTCAATTAACTACCCAGGAAGTTGGACATCCCATAATCCCTGTAAAACAACAGCACCACTCCAACGTCTTTTCTCTGATTTGACAGAGTACCTGGCTAAATACACCTCTCATAAGACATCTGGCAAAACATTTTAAACATTTCGAGTGGTGGTCTATTTCAGGTGACATTACTCAGGTAGATTTAACTCTTCAAAACTCGAAGTGATTTACCATAAACCTGCACAATGCAAATACTCCTTGGAAAAACACTTTTTGAAAGCCCTTTTGCTGTAGGTAGAGGGGAGGGAGTGGGTGTCACAAGAGGGATAACGAATGAGGGAGCCAGAATATTTTACAACCACTACTTCAAATATTTATGAAACTGGAAAGCAGTGCAAAGTAAGAAAACTGATATCAAGTTACCAACTAATGCTACATGCACTGCGCACAATCTAAACCAAACAAGACGGATGACCATTCAAAAAAATAGACAAATAAATAAGACAAATCTACAAACCAAACAAAATGTCTCCTTGTCTAAGGATAACTTTGTATCACCTGATATCAACTGGCACTATCCTGTGTTCACACACCGGCATAATTGCAGTGAATTTCGGCATCAAGTTACCGTGGCGACATCCAACCGTCTCATCCTTTGCCTTGCTATTGACAATAAACTTTCCCCTCCTTCCCCTATCTTGCCTCATCCAGTTCTCCCTCAAGCGAGGCACGTCCCAGGCCTTGTTTCCTTGTCATATGCTTATCTCATATCTCTCAAACTCATCAAGCGATCCCTCCGAGTGGGTGCCCCTTCTTCAATTTCATCCTACCCTTTTATTGATGCTCTCCACACACAGCCTATTTTTGACCATGCATCTGCAAGTATTGATCAAGTCCAACTCAGTCCTTGCAGTTTACCTGCTTCTGACATGTCCGAACTGTCCAGCCTTTTTTCAGGCGCTCCTATTCCAAAAAGCTGCTAAGAAGAAAGCCAAACTTTCTTGCTAAGCGCATGTCAATGAGAACCAGTCACAACCAATGCATTTCAAATGGCATTTGGGCTGGCAACCTGCTACAGCTAAGCAGATTTTTGTGGACGCAGCTCTAGGGATGTCTGTTGGTATTTCGACATACATGAGTGTCGGCAGTCAGTCTAGGCATGTTTATAGTTTTCCTCCCTGATGATTTGTGATCTTTCCGTGCCATCACGTCCAATCGTCCAATCAGCGCAGCCCTGTTTATTTAAGTTCAGGTCTGTTTATGTGAACACCTGCCGCATGTAGACACATTTCCTTGTCTTAAAAGTATCCCTATCAATCTAAGCCCTCGAAACAGTCTTGCTTAAATATATTTGTTCTGGAAATTGCTGTCCTCAGAATATTCACTGATGGTATTGGAGTTTACTCTACTATTTATCCAACAAATATTTACAAAAAATTTGAAAACAAAGAGGAAAATACCTACCAAATAAGACAAAAAAAGAGAAACAAACAGTTTCAGGAGGTTTAAATTGAATTTACAGAAAAAATAGATTTTTAGCTGAAGTAAGGATAATCTTACATTTCAACCTAAACTGGGGTTCACTTTATCGTCCTGCTTGTCCATTAACTTATTGATTTCCACCCCTTACTTCAATTTGTGTACTGGTACATGTACAGTGTAATTTACATGTACAGTTCACATCTGTTAGCCTGTAATTTCAGTACTCTCTCCTTTCTTGTCTTCCAAACATGCTCAATCAATTACACTCCATTCCACCCATTTTTTCCAAGTCCGTGCAAAGAAATCTGACAGACATCCCTGTTTACAAGGACATGCTACATACATGTACATGTTATAAGTTCACAGACACAGAGACGAATTCAAGGTGGCAGAATTTGTCACATCGACTGAATGGGTGGGTTTGACGAAAGGTGTTAAGGGTGAGTGTAAAAAGCACTGTGTACATGTACAATGAACAAATGCAGCACAGCATGCAGTGTTACATGTAGGCATTAAACATTCACACATATGGGTTAATGCGGCGGGTACCATTTCATCCGGCGAACGTGAGACCACACATCCCTCTTCATCATAATTGGCCGAGACCGGCTATCGTAGGGCAGCAATGAACTACTGGAAGGAACGGGTACAAAAAAGGGAGGAAGAGACAAAGTCACGGGAGGCTGGTGAATTATCAGTCCTCGTCGTTAAGGATCAAGGCTTCAACAAAAGGGTTTTACTCGGCATTTGGGGAAAATGATGGTTAGTTTGTTACAAACAATTAATCTTTATTCATATGCTACATGTGAGAGCATGCAAAACATCTGAATGCATTTTAGAGATTTCTAATCTCCTTTGACTGGATACTGCATGTATGGAACTTATTTTGTAAGAGGACTAAGTGGGCTTATGACATATTTGCCTGACATTTCCGGCATCCAGGAAAAAACTACACCCAAATATGGTGCAAATGTGTAAGGTCTGCCGACTGATCCCTGCCCTTCCCCAAAAGTAATCTTGACATCACGCCACTGCCAGAGGTCCTATATGTACGTACATGTACATATCCCAGTTACATGACCATGCAACCTACAGCTGGCTGAATTGTGCATGCTGCATCATGAACCCACCTGATCCCCTTTGCGAGGGCACTCTGAGCTTTATTAGCTTGGCTTCTGCTATAAAAATCACAAAAATATTTGAAAAACAAAGTGCCAACTGAAGCCTTCACTGGTAAACAAAACAAAGTAACTTAGGGACTCAAACGCAGCAGCAATTTTTGTGGGTGCTTTGCAACAGTTGTTGCTCACCCTGGATAAAAAAAGAGAACTTTAACGCTGAACTTCACCTGCTCATTAATTACATGTATATCTGAACAAGGAGGAATTACTTGAAGATTTCCTTTTATAGTAGCAGGATGATATCCCTTGAGAATATCTAACATGTAGCGCTGAGTAGTCAGAAGATTCACTCCCCCCCCCCGAGAAATCACAGCTTGTTCCAGATGTGATTATCAGACAAACTACTGAACCCAGAGGCAGCGATCACCAGAAATTATGTTCCAACATTTAAATACAGCCCCAAGGGATGAGCAGCAACAAAACCATGATACACTCTTCGGAAAATAATTTAGAAAGTGAAGCTTCCTTGGGCAACAGTAATATTGGAAAGCCAAGGGGATGGAAAATCATTTTCAGTGAGTTGTTCCTTCCCAGTGAAATTAAATTTCCACAAAAGCTTGTTAATTCCTGCAAGGCACAGGTTAAAATTGGATTGGACAAATTTGTGTACTACTACCGGTAACTTGAATTTTCAGGACAATTTTTGAGTTAAATGTACATTTAAAATTTTGGACTGTGGGAATAAGTATCAGGAAAGAATCTGGCCCAGAAATATATCTTCATGTAAATTCCTGGTCAAAATCTGTTTTCTCCATACATGCAAGCAGTCTATGGAGTTGCATCACACAAGTTATAAGTAATGGAGAAACCTGATTTTAATCACATGATTTGAAGTTCAAGGACAAATTCAAGGAGACTAAATGCATCTACATATAAATACACTTTTGCTGACTTGTCCAACACACAGGTACACTTACATGTATACCACCCCTTGACCTTGAGTTGTGTGCTTGTAGGGTTCAACATTATATTATGTATTATGTGTACACTGTACAGTCCATTATACAAATAATGTTCTAGCACACTATGGTGTCATACATGTACATGTGTTTGTACACGTGAGTACTGATACATGTACTGTGATGAAGCTGACTTTCTTGGAGACAAAATCAGGTTCATGCAAAGTATTTGACTCAAAAGTATGTTACCTTTTTTTTTTTTAGCAGCAGGAAATTTTGCCAGAGTTCATCTCATTTTGAGGAGTCAAACTGATCTCTTTGCCTTTTTCTGATAATTAAAACCCAGCACAGATGGTCCCTTGACTTTTCAAAGAGACCAGACCCGGTTATTTTCTTTCTATTAGTGCTTCATTTCCTTGAAAAAATATCACTTTGAACTTGGAATCACTTCATACAGCACTCTTCAAGGTGAATTTAGACTTGCAAGGAATGTGCACACTAAAATGGATTAGCGGCATTAGTATAGTGTATGACTTGTGACACCCTCGCTTGTCATGACCTTTGACACTTACCCATTCAGTATGCTCGCTGGGGCTTCCCTCTCGATGGTATCCACCGAGTCGGAGAGACTGGATGCATCCTGGATCTCAATCTCGATTCCGTCAGCATTCTGGCCGAAGTCTTCGAAGCGCTGCTCGTCGTCACTAGGCAAGGAGGAGGCGTGACTGCTGTCCTCCACTATTTGTGGAACTCTGGTAGAAATTAGCACATAATCAATGAAATTTAATTGATATCCAATCTATTTATGTAGCAATGTTGATCCTTTGAGCTCAATTTCGCAGAGCCTGTTAACAGTTAGCAGAAAAGTTATGCTTACTATCGCAGAAAAATTTGCTAACTGTAAGCACTATTTCATTGCGGTGCTTGGCACAAAGAGATTTCCGTGGTTTTGTCAAGTGCTACATTACACAAATTTATCCTCCTCCAAGTTGAGCAAGCCTTTTGCCTCGCTTACTGCTTACGATCTCCATGAGATACGTGGAGTCTCTGTTAGCGCAAAATCTTGTGCTTAGCAGTGCCGTGAAATTGGGCCCTGTTTGGGAAACGCTGAGCATGTGGATCATTTTGATGTTGGAATGTACAGTCTCCACGTGTGCCCCTGGTGCCCAGATGAGGTGAATCCCACCAACCTGTCTCTTCTTTGTCTGTGAGAGTGTGCTTCAAGCCAGGATGGACAGGGTTATTGAGAGCTGATTGCTATGCACATTTACCGAGCAGGAAATGAACCTGAAAACATTTAATTTTGTTTCATTTCTTTACGATTCGCAAATTTAAAAAGTGGCCACATATTAAATAACAAACAGCACTTTACACTTAAACTATAAAGGAGCGAGTCTGATGGATGGAAAGCAAAAACTCGATTTTGGGTTTGGGATAGAAAGGCCTGTCAGAGAAAGTGTGTTTTCTTATTGCCAGTGGAAGTGTGTCATGTTCTATTTTGTCTGAGATAATCGGGAATAGAGTGCCTTAGGTGAGGGGCAATGCTTGAGAAAGCTCTGTCTCTATAACAGACTGGTCTATTGCTTGTTGACCTTAGACCAGACCTGGCAGAGGAGGTTGCAGCAAGTTCTTGAGTTAAAGAGGAGTGGATTAATGTGTATTACAGGATTAAGGCTGACATACCAGCAATGTAATGTTCTATAATGTACTAAATGAGCATTAAACTATCGGCACACATTGAACCAGGAAATGCAGTAGCCACTTAAAATCAAACCAAGTTTTAAGAGATGGATATTTTCGTAACACCACTGACAATAACCCACCTTAATGAATCGGAGGACGACAAAAAACCATTCATGTTGAGTGTCGGTCCGGCAATTGCACTGTCAGTGTCGTCACCGTCCAAGCTAGGGTTGAAGCCGTCATACAGCAATGGAGAGGTGTTATCTTCACTCATGTCTGTTAAGGCACTGTCATCATACTCGTTATACGTGCTCTCTGAGGTCTGAAGAGAATCACAGAGGAAAATGGGAAAATCACGCATGTATTCATGCGATTTCAGATCTTCCAAACATAAAATGCCTCAATACAAATGGATTTCTCCTCAGATCTGACATTCCGTGTCTTGTCAAAAGGCATGGCTAGTTGTAACTGCGGATGACAGTACATGTTTTTCAATATCTTATTTCCTTTTTGTATACTGCATACGACTGTCTGCAAACCCAACAATGGCTAGTCTAGTAAAAGTCTAGCAGACTCCTTTGTTTGCCATTATCCAACAGCAAACACGCGTGACCAACTGATCTGAAGTTGAAGGGAATTTCTGCATTGTCGCGCCATCAAGTTGCAATTTTTTCCAAAAGTTACCGAAAGCCTTTCATAAAGGCAATTTACATACGTATGTGTGGCAAGGAGATGGGGAGAAACGTTCCTGTCAAAACAACCCAAAGAAAACCGAAGGAATAAGGCGTGTCACCAACTGACGATCCGCATGTCATCCTGGGTAGGATTCAAATCCACATCACAAAGGTAGAGAGTAAGGAAAACGCATGTACCCACGGCACCAACTTGACTCCTGGTGCATTACTGCACGGACAGACTCTTCATGCAATCAGGTCTAAGTACAGTGAACATGTATCACTGAGGACTCTATAGATGAACACTGAGCGTGTACTAGTTCAATACTATGTGAACTGTTGTGAAAGTCATAATTTTCCTGATCTGTACAGCCCTGGCCAACTACGGTAAGGTACAATCAACATATACACAATACATACAACAGTTAAAAAGACAGAGTGGTTTACATGTAAAGTACAAACATGTCCAAGGACTACATTTTGATTAACCTGTCTGAAAATGTTTTGAGATCTGGGGCCATAATGGAAGGCTTAATTCCAGCTGAAAGCAATTCCCAACCTGGAACTCACATCAAGCCTTGGGAGTTACCGGTAATACCTGTCGACACTGTTTACATGACAGATAAATTGCTTCGGGTTCTTAATGGTAAGAGGAGCGAGTGTCGTTAATTCTGCCTGAAGGGAAAAAAGACGACAAAATGAACAAATGACTTAGATTCTCACACAATAGCGTCAGAATGTAGAAGGGAAAAATCAATCGTTTGGGGTGATGCTGCTCGTGTAGATCTCTCTCAAATGATGTCACTTCCTACAGATTGCCACGTGCTTCGGAATTTTTCACTTCACATTTTTGCGGCATGCATAAGCTGGACTGTACGTATTTCAAAGATATTTGGATCAGCACGTGCACCAGTATAGAACATTTGCACACTGCGCCCATACACCCATTCATGTTGTATACGCAGCTGTAATTTTCCTACAAAGATAGCATCCAATGGGAGAGATTTGTTGAAGTTTTCAGCAACTTCTATAGTGAATTTTTCCAGATATCTTGCCTTTAATAAGTTCCCTAAATCTGAAGCAATCTAATGCCTCGCTTTGTAGAGTTCAAATCTACATCCATGTACATGTAGGTTGGTTTAACACTTCATGTACGGTGCCCCATCAATGAAACTTGACGTGTGTGTACATGTACAGAGGGTTTTCAGTTGTCAGTCACCACAGGTTCGAAATCGCAAATATTCCAAAATTTTGGCTACTAACTTGTGACAAAAAAATGTGTTAAGCACAGAACAATAAAAAAATGTAGATGATGGCAAAAATATGGATTTGGCTAAAACTTTGTCTAGAATTTAAAATTTGCCAGGTGAAACCTTGAATTTCCAAAGTAACCCCTCCAAATGTACTGGTTTACCCTGCAATCCTGGCTTCTGGCATGTCTGGTGGGAGTGTAAGGGTCCCACATGACAATTGTGCCTTGATTATTGAGAAAATTCATTATTAAAGAAATTCATGACTTAACTGTCTTCCATATTATCATGTATGCCACGTACATGTACATTGTATATATATACATGTACAAGCACTGTGCCGGATCTGTCATTAGTGACAAGTACATGTACATGCACTGTGCCGGATCAGTCATTTGTGACAAGTACATGTACATGCACTGTGCCGGATCTGTCATTTGTGACAAGTACATGTACATGCACTGTGCCGGATCTGTCATTTGTGACAAGTACATGTACATGCACTGTGCCGGATCTGTCATTTGTGACAAGTACATGTACATGCATGTGCTGGATTTGTCATTTGCGACCAACTTCCAACTTTATATACTGTATCTCCCGATGTAATCAACACATACATGTATGTACATGTACTGGTAGGCCAAAACACCACACAGTTCTCAGTACTAATTCTGCTACAAAGAACAAAATCATCAGGTGACGTAAAGCACATGTACAATGTACACATGTAATTCTAAGCATTCGTCTTCCATGTATCCAACTTTTGGTGAAATAAATATGTGTATACTCTTCTGAATATGTTCCTGTGTACGGAACATTTTATATAGAAAGTAGTTGTGGAATTCTACTTGTACATGTACATTCCATGGGTTTTACCCAGAACATTCCTCTGGGGTTTTCCTCCCACCTCTAAAACTGTTAATGTTTCTCATTGTCTCCTTCCTACGGGTCTTTCCAGGTCTTGCAAGCTACAATGCTGAGGGCGCTTTAGAGGAATCCTTGGTGTCGTTACCAAAAATGACTATAAATAATAATAATAACAATAAAAAGATCATAACATTGTATATTATTCTCAATGTCCAGAAGGGGAAACTCAATAGGTTAATGGTAGTTATAGCTTGAAGTTTTAACAATAAAAACTTCTGTTTTTGTTTTCTCCGAATCCTGCTCACAGGACATGAAGCCTGAAGGAAGAGGTGGCCCACAGGTCTAAACTAAAGGAAGGTACCGGTAGCGAGTTCCCCATTGTAATGTTGACAAAAAGTGCAGTGAACTCCACAAAATCTATGTACAGCACATGTATTTCTGAGAGTAAAAGATATGCCCTGATGATTTTTATGTGTAGCCTACAGGAAAGCGACTTTTCAAATACACTTTTGTGTAAAAAGACAGCCACTTTACAATATTGTACATGTACACGTACCGTAGGTATACTGTAATTTGTAAGCAAACAGAAAGATAGGACAGCCTGTATTGGCCTTGACAATACACAGTTACTGCATCATCAACATGACGGAATAATTGCTGTCTGTAATGTACATGTTCATGTGCTGGTATGCATTCAACAAGTGCTGTTCCTTGTTCATGTAAATTAATTTCTGTGGTAGCATAAATTGTGAGATATCTTGTTAGATCAATGCAACAGGTGTCAGTAAGCACCATGACAGACACTCTGCAACTTGTACTGAGAAGAAACAACCGGACAAATGGGCGCATTTTAGCTACCTGCGCTCATTAATATCGAGCCCTGAGTTACCCACAGCTCAGATTTTTCCAAAGCAATGCTAATGCACATATGCACATGAAGGGGAGGGAGCTAGCTATGCATGCCTACATGTACATGCAGCTGTATTAATCTAACTCCTACCTCTGCAGAAATTCAAACAGCTCTCAACAGAAATAGACCAATGCCTGGGTTATTTAAACTGGGAAGGCAATTTTACACTTTCTTCAATGTTGTCACATGTAAAGTAGTTCCTACAGATGGATTTAATTGAAATAATGTCCCAAATGGCCTGAGAGTTTCTGACATGTGGTAACCATACAACTAGAGATACATACATGTAACGCTTCTCTGTCTCCATACTCTATCAGAAGTATCAGTATACTGTTAAATCTACTCTGTTCATGTGGTCTACCAAACCAAACGGTGATTCTAGGCTTCTCTAACTGGGTGTTAATGTACAGGACACTGGTCCTAATCTCCTTGGCAAACAAAGTTTATCAAATGGAGGATATAAATCCCCCACAACCCATTACACAATGACAAAGACAATTCAGAGCACATTTCATCACAAGAGATCTTTAGCCTACATGTACATGTACTAGGCCCATTATCATGTCCATGCGGTATATGAAAATACATGTACACCTGACAGTTCACTGATTCAAGATTGTGGGCATAACATGCAAGACGGCGCTACCTACACTGTACATGTAGCTGACCTGTGAAGTTAAAACATAAAAATCGATCACCACAAACACAGATTTCCACAGAAGAAAAATCCTATTGCTTAGATCACCACCATGGTCAACGTCAAATGGCACTAAACATAACATGACCACTGAAAGTGCAGTGATGGTCATGATGGTTTCCTGCACCAAGCTTCATGTCCACACCATTATCCATTTAAAAGTTGGAGACAGCATAATACATTACACACTCTCATCTGGACTTACCATCCATACACACTGTCACCTGTGACCACCTGACACTTAGATGAAGGCCACAAAATCACAAGTTTGATATCCAAAATGATGATGATGATCCAAACAGACCAGAACACCATGGAGTGCTGACATTATAAGCAGTGAAAGACAACCAAATACACAATCCGTATAGCCTTGAATATTAAAATTGCTGATTGTCAATACACACAACGGCAGACTGCATTAGTTTCCTGAATGAGTTTCCTATGTGTTTAACGTGTTGTCACTTCCTTCATTTCACAGTAATGTCAGGACTCACTGCAGGGAAAACAACACTCACGTCAGATTTCTCTATTTCTCAGCCTGACCTTTGACCACGCTACGACAACCCAATGTTGCTCCACCCCTCAACTGTGGACAAGGTCAAAAGACACAGCTGCTATGACACAACACCTGTCTTTTGTGTGCATGCTGAAAGGGGTCATTTGCATATCAAAACAATCACTTGACTGGTGCATTATCAGGAGGGGAGCTTTTAGTCTTCCTAATTTGACAGTGACTGGGTTTTTGTGACTCAACTGGAAGTGACTTTGAAAGAAGGTCACCAAACAATAATTACACGAATATTTACTACCACTGTTGTCTGCAACACAGGCTCCCAGCATAAAGGCTACTCATACACAATGAACAAAAGTTGGTCAAACATCTGTATGTACGAAGTACAATGGTTTATTGTACCAACCTTGTTT